TGTATCAATTAGACTGTATAGAGTTCCACTGAAATTAACACTTTGCAGGTTTTCATCAATGTAGACAACTGCACCTGAGATTTCTGTCATTCAGAGCGGGCACCATGCTAGTACAACACCTTCTCTTTGTGCCTCGTCCTCTACATTCTTCCTTGTCTCAACATTGTTCTTCACACTCCTTCATTCTCCTGACATTCATCCTTCTCAGGAACAGAACACACCGGACACCTTGTCTTAGGCCTAGCATCTCATCTCCTGCAGCTTGGGCCTCTTCTAGGTTACATTCCCCGTCCCGAAGTAGCTGTTGAAAATATTCTGCACACATGCTGTCATGGGAGGGTGCGTTCAGAACAGGGAGGCTGCAAGCTGCACTAGGGAGCGAGAGAAGCTGCATAGTAGAGGGGAAACGTCGGCTTCTGGGCAGAAAGAAGCACCGGGACCAACAGAAGTCACCCCTAAGAATAGCCAAGTTCAGGAACTCCCCGTGGCTCCTCCACAGACAATCCTCAATGGCATTCCTGACAAAAAGATGGTTGTGGAGGAGAGGGCAGCACGTACCTCATCAGTGACTTCTGTGAATTGTGAGAAGACAGTTTTACTTTCTTCAGCAGATGATGGGGACCCAGAGAGGCATTGAGGCTCCAGCACGATGAAGGAACAGAGCTGGCTGCAAAGGTGCAGACAGGTGACCAGTGCAATGCCAGTGGCCTGGCCAGGGGCTGCCAAGGAAATGGCTTATTAAGGAGTGAAAGAGGAGGCCAAAAGATCTGTGAGTAACTGACTGCAGCCTGAGGGAGAAAAAGGACCCAGCCCAGCCCAGGAAAACCCTACATGTCTGACTTTAGGGAATAAAGGAAAAGAACAAATAGAAGTCAGGTGATATTCAGTTTTAGAGATATAATCTAGCTTGGTTCATTATTATGGTGTCTTAGTAAGTTAAACCAGATCTTAAATTAACAAAGATCTTAAATCCGTACGTAGATCCTTTCGCTTCTCGGGTTGGACACATTCACAGCTATGGCTGTGTAGGTGGTGGACAGTGCCTAGAACTGACTCTTCCCGACTGGACAGATTTTGCTCATATCGCATCGCATGAGCCAAGGCCCACGAGGCTTTCTTTTTCAGTCTCTGTTAACTTGCTACCCAGCAGTCAGAAAGTGGATTTTCTAATGGCTGAGGATGTTCTGCTTTGTTTTTTTGCTGGTTTATTGAGCAGTTAAGTTTAGTGTGAAGCAAATAAAACATTCAACTTTTTTCTCAACACTCCCTTCAAACATACATAGCCAGACTGCTTTCTCCACCCTTCTCCGTGCCGTAATAACATCTGTTGATACTGCACACATTCTGGTCATTTTTAAGAGTGAGATGGGCTGCGGATTTAGCCCAGTGGTTCCACCGCCTTCCTCGCAAGCGCACGGTCCCAAGTTCGATCCCCGGTCATTTGCAATGATTTTTACCAGCCCACATTAATACTTCTGTCTGATACCCAGGTCGGAGCAATCCCCGTCTTCTGGTCCTTTCTGAGCCCAAATGTGGGAAGGCAGGTTGTAGAAAGAGTGGAAGCTTTTGTGCTTAACTACTCCTGCAAGTAATTCTTATCAGGTTTCTACTGACGCCATCACACTCCCTTATAGCCAATCTCCGAAACAAAATTGACACTAACAAAAGTTAGGAGTAGTTCCATAGTTTCCAAATGGGAAATTTTCTATTGAGACATATGCATACCCATTCAAATGTTTCTAATTATTCTGTAACTGCTTTCCATCTAGCTTCTTCATCAAAGAAGTCTCGGTTAACATCTAGTGACCTTTGTAAGAAGATTACAAATGTGAAATGGGGTCATGTGGCCATCGTGTCCAATGATACATGTTGAAAATAAAGGGAGCCATTAGTGTATAAGAAGCAATTGAAATAATCTCTTTCATTTGGATCAAATTTAAGACTCTCTGAGAGCAAAGACTGTCCCTCACCACAAATGAAAACAATGTGATGAATTCTTTTTCCCTATGTCTTTCTTCCATTTTCTAGTTAGAGAAATTTCCCAAAATACATGAATTCTGCAGCTTATCTCTCAGATGAAAAAGAATTTTCTTGGATTGGATGGCTGCATAGTTATTAATAGTAGTAAAATCTTCCATTTTCTTTTGTATCAAATGGAATGCTGACTAAAATATGAAGGAGACATTCCAGCAATGATAACCGTCATGGATGAATAATTTAAAAAGCTGTATGGGATTGAAAGGCATTTTAATTTGTCATTACTTCTATGTGCTCAGAAAAGATCTGAACAATTATGCTGACTATAAAAAGCAAGCAAGTGGTATTTTTCCTCATTATGAGATTAAATTCTCAATATACCACTTTTACTATAAGTTAAAACAAAACAAAACAAAAAAATCCTCTCATCTGGCTTCCCATAACGACGTAATCATGACCAAAAGCTGCTCAGCTGCAGATGTGTTTGTCCTTCCTACTATTCCATGGAGGTGTTGTGCTTCCAGATCATCTTAATTTGAAAAGTGTTCATCTTTGCCATTTGCGAAAATGAAATTATACGTGCTCGCTCCTTGTGAACTGCCAGCCTTCATGTCACGTTAATTCATGAAGATGACAGTGACTAGAATTTCCTTAGGTCATGACCGAAAGGTGGCAGAAGCTGAATGTGACACTCTAAAAGTTTTGTGTATGACTGTTATCAAATGTGGCCGTGGTTCTCAGGGTCATTCCAAGGCAAAATTTAAAACACACACACACACACACACACACACACAAGAAAGAGAGAAAGAAAGAAAGGTAAGTAGCTACAAAGTAGGCAAAGAGAATCCAAATCTGTATTGATTAATCTCAACAAGCAGGCTGTAGATTTACAAGGCAG